TAAAGTACCTGGAACAACATCTGGATGCTCAACAGAGGTGATACCACCTGCTGCCTCTCCACCTAGTCCAGCCCCCGCACCACCCCCCAAGTCCCCAGAACAGTCTGAGCAGAGCTGCCTGGGGTGAGCAGCTCCAGAGCCTCAGAGCTCATGGTGAGTATCCTGAGGGGGCCTCAGAGCTCATGTGAGGATGCAGAGGTGCCAGTGCAGCTCTGAGCCCAGCAGCCTCCCTTTCCGCACCCGCCGGCTGGGCCATGCCAGCTTGCCAGTGCGGAAGGCACAGGGGACTGTCCCATCTCTCAGACTGTACTGTACTCCTCTACCAACCCAAGAAGGAGTCCTGGGCCCTCTGGAATGTTCCCTGGCCAATTAGATAGAAGCTTGCCATCCTGCAGCTAACCCCTCAGCAAGACCTGAGGATACCCAGGGAACAGGGATAAACAGAGCTGCATCTGCTTGCGGACTGCATGCCCCTGGCCTCTGATCCAGGAGGGCTTTCTCCTCCAGCTCCTTCTGTGCTTGCCCACCATGCACCACCCCACACTCCATGTCCAATCCCTTCCCACTCTTGTACATCAGTGCCCACCTACTAAACAACGATCACATGGATTCTGCAGTTCTGTTCCGGTGCCCCAACAGGCCTGCTCACACGTGTGCTTCCTTCTCTCTTCTTGCAGAATACTAATTGCTCTGCACTCCCCGTTGCCATCTGTCTACCTGTGAGCAGCCTTTTTCTTGAGATCAGCGTTGGTCCCTCAGCCAGATCAGTGGGGACTTTGCAAACCAGGGGCTCAGGGATTACCCGCTCCTCCCAGGAGTTCTGCTTCAACCCAGACTCAAAAGAGCAATCAACTAGTGGAGGAAAGATCGTATAGATGACTTCTCAATGCCACAGTTTCCAGCCGCCCAGGTGACAGGACCTCAAGGCTCTCCTCTGCACCTGAGCCCCCTCCCATAACCTCTGCTTGATTCCTTCCCAGTTCTCTGGGAAGTGTGTCTTCTGGCCCTGTCACAGAACTTCCCAATGGGTTCTCAACAGACCTGCACCCACCACTGCAGCCTGGCCCCCCTCCTCCATCTCTACAGGGCAGCAGCTGAGCATATCCAGCCCAGTTCTCCTAAGGTAGATTCCCTTGGCATGAGCTGACAGCGAGATGTGTGAAGGAGATGTGTCCTCTCAGACCTTCCTTGGGAGAGCCCCAGAGGTGTCCAGGGCCCCTGACCCTGTGAGTAACTGGAGGGTTATCCTGCTCTTGTCCCCAGCCTCTACTGTTTCTCTGCTCCATTCCACATTTAGGAGACCAAAATATGTCTTCAAATATGACAGTAGGAGACCAGAATATGTCCCCAAATATGACTATGGCGACCAGAACATGTGCCCCAAATTTTTTTGCCTGCTTAGCATAGGATTATGTTGAACTAGTTTGAGATACAGGAGCCACCAAAAAAGTTCTGAGAATAAGAATAGAAGTTACCCTTTTGTAAGGGAAATTCACATCCTTAAAGGACTCTTCCCCTGAACCCAACAGCGATGGCATCCTTGTGCACCTGGATGGTGGATCTCCCCCATACCTCCTTCTTTGTTTTCAAGGACAATGATACTTATATCTGAAAGCAAATCATTGTCTTCAGGCCTGCTCACCTGCCCCAGGCCTCCCAGTATCACAGATCAGAGAAAATCACTTTTCCTCCCAACATCACAAGGCTCCTGGCCCCTCTCAGGGCCCGTTCCAACTGTACTCCAAGCTGTTCCAGGATCATCTGAGAAAGACCAGGTGACCTCCACATGGCCTCCTCCAGACCACTGGTCTCTCCTTCCTCTGCCCATGGAACCAGCACTGCTTCTGGCCCTTCCAGGAACACCTTTGGGGCTTCTTGGGCTTCCTGAATCCCCACACAGACCCCTGTACCTCCTGGCCTGGGGTGGGTAGGGTGTTTTCAGCCTCTGGTCTTCTCCGCTGCATCCTTCTTGGGGATGATTCATCCCCCCACCCTGGGCTCCAGCATCCAAGTCTGCTCCTCCACGCATCTGCTCTCCCAAGTCCACTGCTTATTCCACCTTCAAGCCACCTCCCACCCAGGTCACCTCCCCAGTACAGTAGACAGGCATCTGCCTCTCCTGAGCCCAGGTGCCCTATGTCACCACTCTCCAAAGGCCCATCATGCTCCAGACACAACCCACCATCTGGCAGCCACTTGCAGGCCTCACAAGGGTTACCATCACCCCACAGACTACCCCTGCCCTGTCCTCTCTCCCAGCCCCAGGTCCCTCACTCAGCTGTAGTCACCAGGGCCCCTGCACTTCCCCAAGTGTCAGGCTGACCATGTCCAGGGACCTTGCACTTGGGCCTACCTGGAGCACCACTGACATATTTCCTGGTATGGCATTCTACCCAAATGTGCAAGTTTCTATCCAAATGTCACTCTCAATCTTCCCTGGACAATATAGTGTAGACTCCTCACAGAATGCATCACCCTCTCTGCAGAATCCACAACTCCTGGAACCATCTGGAACTCCTGGAACCATCAGCCGTTTATTGGGGATTCAGCCTGAGGACAAAAAAAAGCCCAGAACCCTGGTCTCGGATGGGGCAATATGTCATCAAAAGATGCTGTGCCTGGCCTGGTGGAGCCTGTACCCACAGAGGAAAGAGGTGGAGGCCTGATGGCAATTCAGACCCTTTGAATATGTCTGTGTCTGGGTGCTTCTGAATCTGTGTGTTTACGTGTATTCATGTGTGTGTGTGTGCATCTGTGTGTTTGTTCTTTGTTCTTTGTGATTTCTATGAATGAACAGATTGAATCAAATCAAATTATTGCTTAAATCAAAATTAAAAAAAAAAAGCAGGCATGGGCGTTGCGCTCCCCTTTAGGGTGTGTTCTGCCTTCAGGTCTCTTTTGCACATCTCCTGAGCTTGCTAGCTCTGGCCACAAGATGGACCTATTATTGTCCCTTCCTTGGGCACCTGTTCTGCCCTCTGTCCCCAGGTACAACAGTGAGCAAGCAGACATCAGAGACTCCAAAGTGGAGCATGTGCATTTTGGGGAGAGACAAAGGACAAATAATAAAAAAGAAAGTGTCATCAAACAGTGACAGGTGTTGTGAGGAAAGCAGAGCAGGAGTGGGGCTGGGAGGAAGGGTCTCCTCAAATGACCTGACTGCTAGACAATGTTTATGGGGGGGGGGGGGGACCAAGAACTACATAAGGGAGCCATCCAGTGGTTGGATGGGAGTCCATAAAAATCACTGGGAGGCTTGGAAAGCCTCAGGGAGGCCCCCACACTTATGTTCCATATCCTGAGTCAGGCCACCCACCACCCTTCTCCCTGAGGACACTGGTCACAGTTCCACCTTCGGTACCCAGAGGCCATGGGAGGGACGGGGACTGCAGTCTGACATTGGGGAAAGCAGGCTCAGACCTCAGCTCCTCCCTGCTGACCCCAGGCCTTTCGGGCTTCCTTCTCACCCTCTGCCTCAGTTCTTATGCCTCCTTGGCCTCTCTGGAACCCTGTCCACACATGAGTTCACAGTCAGTGTGAGCAGAAGGGAGGGAGGAACAGGCTCCCCTTCCAGGGGCCCATTTCTAGGTCCAACCTGTGTTTACTGTCTGGTATTAGCTCCCTACACCAATGTAACCTGCTCCTCATGCTCCAAGGAGCTGAACTTGGCCTTTTCACCCTTTCAAATGGCCAGCTGGGTTGAAATCTCTCCTTCACTCAGATGGCCAGCGGATGCCTACTCAATGCTAGGCACTGGAACAAGCTCCAGACTCAACGGTGAATCTTCAGGAATAATGTGCCCAAAGCTCTGGATTCACATGAGAGAAAAGTGAGGCCCAGAGAGGGCATTGAGAAGCCCAGGTAATACAGCAAGGGAGGCCTGACAAAGAAGCGGCTCCCTAGCCTGGCCCCCACCCCACAAGCCCCTCTCTCCTCAGTCCTGCTGGAGAGGCTGCTGGGTGGGGACTTTCCTGGACCTGCTCTGGAAATCTACAGAGGCCTTGAGGGCCCAGGGCCTGTGTGCCTGGCCTGGATCTGTTTGTGACCCTCCCCCACTTACCTTCCCCCCGCTTTGATTCCTATTCCTTACTGGGGGCTTGAGGTCTGGAAGGCCTGTGGCCGCAGAAGAGGCCGGCTGTGTCAGCAGCACTCCCCTTGGGTGTGCACCGCTCAATCGCTGGGGGGTCCGAAGGCAGTGGGGACTTGCCCGCCCCGCCCACCGCAAGGAAAGTGCCGCCTCCTCCACCCGTGTCCCAGTGCCCGACGAGCCTTGCTGGGAGCCGCGCAGCCAGGGTTAAAACGCAGGCGTGGTCCCCCTGGGATGGGGTGGGGTAGGGAGGGCCTCAGCGCCCCGCAGCCTCGCAGCTGTTCTGGCTTCCTCTAGGATTTGGGCCCAAAGCGCTGTCCTCCGGTCCTCTCCCACGGCGGTGGCACCGGCGCCCCCTCTGCCTTCTCGCCGGCTGCGGTACGGCCGTCCGAGACAGGGGTGTGGGGCGCAAGGTCGCCGCCCGGCGGGGAGCTCATCCGGCGGCGCAGACGCCCAGCGGCTCCGGGGAGGGACTTGGCCTGGTTCTGGCCTCCGGCTCTTCGGGGAGGAGCCGCAAGGCTGCAGCTGGCGGCGGCGCCTGCCCCGGCGGGCGGGCGGAGGTCCTGGAGAGGCAGCCAGGCCGGAGCCCCTCTGGACAGAGTCGGCGACCGTCGCCCTCGCTACCGCGGTCCTCGCTGGAGCCTCTCGGTCTCTCTGCAAACTGGAGAGGAAGCGCCCTCTCCTCCAAGGCCCGGAGCTGCAGCGGCATCGCGGGGCGCGGCCGAGGGGAGGAGAAAGCAGAGAGCGAGCGAGCGACCGGGCCCAGCGGTGCCTCGCGGGGCTGCGGCTCCGCCAATCTGCGGGCGCTGACGCGGGGGGCGGCTCCGCGGCGGTCGGATATCTGCCGGCCCGGCGCGGGGCGCCGAGAGCTCGGCCGTGCGGGCGCTGCGCTCTGGGACACCCGCTGCACCTGCCCGGCCTCGCCGGCAGCTCCGTGCGCCCCCTCCCGACCCTCACCCCGGTCCAGTCTTCCGGCCACAGCCTGACCAAGCCAAGCCCTGAGGGAAGGAGCCTCGCGCGTTCTCGCCCGCCGGGCACCCAGCGTGGCCCACTGAGCCCGCCGGGAGGAACGCTCTGTGGATCTGATGCGTGGCACCCGGGCGGAGATGGGTAGCTGTGTCCCGGCCCTGCGCGCCTGATGAGAGCGGCCGCGACTCGAGAGACCTGCGCCGGTCGCTAAGAGCGAGGTGCCTCACCCGGCTGCGCCCCCTGCCACCCGCGATCCCAGTTCCTCGAACGACAACCGCTGGCCGCTCCCGAAAGGCCGAAAGGGAACGGCCCGGAGATGGCCTGGGGAGCTGGCGCTTTGGTGGTGGATATCTTCCACGTCGTTCACGCCCGGGGACAGCCCCGGAGCTGGTAGCTTCTCGGCACCGAATGGACCTTGACCCGCGAGGCTGCGCCGCGTTCGTGTCGAGCCGCGGTTGAGCAGCGCGAGTGGAGCGCGCTCCCGAAGGGCGCCCGAGTCCCAGACCCGCTCGCTTTCGTGGCCATGAAGATGATCCTGGTGCGCAGGTTCCGCGTGCTCATCCTGATGGTGTTCCTGCTGGCCTGCGCGCTGCACATCGTGCTGGACTTGCTGCCCAAGCTGGAGCGCCGCGCCGAGCGGCCCTCTGGTGAACCCGGTTGCTCTTGCGCTCAGCCCGCGGCCGAGGCGGCTGCGCCCGGTTGGGCCCAGGCACGGGGCCGCCCGGGAGAGCCCTCGGCCGCGGGCGACGCGGGCTGGCCCAACAAACACACGCTGCGCATCCTGCAGGACTTCAGCTCAGACCCTGCCTCCAACCTCACGTCCCACTCTCTGGAGAAACTGCCGCCTGCAGCTGAGCCGGCTGAGCGCGCCTCCAAAGGGCAGGAGCCTGGAGACCCGCGGCCGCGCGACCCTGCACACAAGCCGCTACTGCGAGACCCCGGTCCCTGGCGGTCCGCGCCGCCCCCTGGCCCCAGCAGGGAGGGCTCCCTCTTGGCCAGATTATTCGAGCACCCGCTCTACCGCGGGGCCATTCCGCCTCTGACAGAGGACGACGTCCTGTTTAATGTGAACAGCGATATCAGGTTCAACCCCAAGGCAGCTGAGAACCCGGACTGGTGAGCGGGGACTGAGGGTGACCAGGGTGGGGCTGGCAGGTCCGACCCCTGAGGGAGTCACTCACCCTTTCAGGATAAAGGTGCACTACGGAAAATACTCTCCACTCCCAGGGGGGTATTATTGTGTAGGAAGGCTCAGGGACCCGTGGAAGAGGGATGGGGTGCTTGGTGGGCGGGGCAGCCCGCCTCCTGCTCTGGATCTGCCTTTGTCTCTAGGATGACTTCCTCCCTGAAGGAGCAGCAGTTTGGGAGGTTCCCTAGCCCTGGGGTGGAAGTGGCGCTGGACACTAGAGCCACTTACAGGAAAGAGTGCTGGCTAGCCCTAGTTTCTGGCATGGGTGAATGAATGCATTAGAGAACCAGGGAGCTAGTGGGTGAGGCTCCTTTCCCCCCAAGAAGGTGCTGGGCTGCCAGCTTTCAGATGCTTGATGACACTGTTCTGGGTGGACACCTTGAAAAGCCCTGGAGTCTTTTAAAACCAGTTGCTAAGGACAAAAATTAACAGAAGAGTGTGTGCCAGCAGCAGCTAGGTGCAGCACAGAGGCTGTTCCTAGAAGGGTGTGGACAGCAGCTGCCCTGGGCCATCTGCAGAGAAGCCACAGCTTTGTAACAAGAGAGAAGCTGCCCCAGGATGTTTGAATTGCCTTGCTTTGAACCCTTCCCCCAAAGTCTTTCCCTCAGCTCTACAGATCCAAATAAACAGATGCTCAGGCCCAGAGCAGTGAAATATTAACTACCAGCAAGGTCAGAACAAATAGCTACCTGCAAAGGTTACCTGAGCAACAGACGAAAGACTAGGCTTCCAAACATCTCAGCAAAACCCTTTCTACCTGAAATCTGACCAGGCCCTAACCTGTGCTTTGCACCTACATATGAGGTTGTTTGGTGGCCCCTGAGCTTTGCTGGCCAGATTCAAGGCAATGCTCAGAAACTCACATCAGACGAATGGTCCCAGCCTATGGCTGTCCATGGGGAAGGGATAGTACAGAGCAAGTGGGCTAGGAGAGGTTCCTGGGAGGCCTCTAGCCCACCCTCTGTGTCCACCAAAGGACAGAACTGGGACCCAAAGGGCTTGCCTGTCAGTGAATTAGAGCTAAGAAAGTTCCACTCACCCTGCAGCCCAGCAGGCAGGCAGAGGTCAGCTCTTCCTCCAGACACCCCTATGACCAAAGAAGCAGGACAGGCCTTGTTGGTGGGATCCTCCACTGAGCCTGGACTGGAGTGAGTGCTGGAGGCTTCCTTGCTCCCCGGCTAAAGCTGTTCTCCTCAAAATCAGATTTAGCTCCTATCTCATTCCTCCTCCCAGTTGTTAGGACAAAATCTGAGAGCTAGGGAAGGCATCTGGCCCATGGGGTGTGCCAGTGGTTTTAGGTCCCAGTCAGAGCTCTTTCTCCTATGCTCTAGGAAGGGCTGCAGCCCCCTGCACCCTGGCTGACCTCATTCTTGCTGGGCAGTGTCAGCGACCCCAGGGTAGACGTGCAGGGATAGCGCCGACGCCCTGGGTTTGGACTTGCTGTAGTTATAGCCGTCTGTGGCGTCTCTCAAGGTAAATAGGAATTACAGGCCTTCCGGTGTGTTATTAGCTGTAGAACCGCAGCCCCGGAGGAAAGTGCAGACACTGCAGGGTCCTCTCGAGGGGGAGGCACCTTCCGATAAACCTGTATTTGGAAACTGAAGTCACAAATCCAGCCTCAGATCCAACTCCCCTGGCTCCTCATGGTCCTGCACACTCCTTTTCTGGCTGACTTGTGACATCTTTGTTTTTGTAGGCCACGTGAAGGTGCTGAAGGTGAAGAATTGCTCCCCACTGGGGAGGTGGCCTTGGACTCCTATCCCAACTGGCTCAAATTCCACATTGGCATCAACCGCTACGAACTGTACTCCAGACACAACCCAGCCATCGAAGCTCTGCTGCAGGACCTTGGCTCTCAGAAGATCACCAGTGTAGGTAGGTGTCTGGCCTCCAACGGTCGTGTGTGCTGACTGAGGGATGCCAGGCCTGCACTCCTGGATGTCTAGGAAAGCTTGCTCCTTCCTGGAGCCTCACTTTCTGGGATGGATGGGGGCCTGGGATGCACACAGCAGTGGAAATACTCCTGTTCCATGGCATGGTGAGGACAGTAAGAGGGACAGGAGCATCCCTGGTAACTGTAGCTCCTCCAGCCAGGACTCTTTCTGCTTTAATGCATGTGAGCTTCAGCAGACGACTCAGCTGAGACCCGAGGCTGCTGCTGTGGTTCTGGGCCAGCACCCAGAACCTCAGGTTCAGCCAGGGGTTCCTGGGATTCTCCATTGTCAGGCAGTGACCAGGGCCCACTCCCTCCAAACGGAGCCTGAGCATCTAGGGTAGGGCAGTTTGAAGGCAACTTTGATCAAGTGCTTTGATCTGCTGAATCAGACAGAAAAGCTATTCAATGTCTGATTCCCAGAATCATGTGAAGCAGTCCTGAGCATGGAGGCTTGATGCTATGGTTTTTAGGTGGTTATGTGAAGGTCTCATTAGTCATCTGTGGCTTGGGAGGTAGTGGGGACAGGCTGAGGCCTGGGGCATTGCAGGGATGGTCCTGGTACACATAGCCAAGGTGGAGGGCAGGCCTCTGCACGTGTTATGGGCTGCAGTTCCAGGCCCTGTCTCCATGTGTCTCAAAAGCAGTTCTGCTGAAAGGGCTCTCTTGGTTTTGGGCTTCTGTCCAGTTGCTGACACAGAGCAATGAGGAGTTACTCACTGGCCTGTAGGTGCCTCTTTAGAGGCTGTCTGTGGCTCTGTGAACTGTTGGCCCTTCTAGGGCTCTCACCTGGCCCTAGAAGTCGGGCCTCACAACTCCCCAGCACTGGGTCATTCACCAGTGGAGAGCTGAAGTGATCTTTCTTTCTACCCCTGTGCTGTCCAGGAAGACTCTTGAGTACTCCTCACCCCAGGCCATACCTTGCAAAACTGGGGGGGCTTCCACTGAGCTGGGAGCTGTTCTTGTGGATGACAGGGACTGTCTTACAGGCAGCCTCAGAAGATGTCACCTGCTCCAGAAAATAGATGGGGCTGTTAAAGACATGTCCAATTGGGTCAACCCACTTGGTCCATCCAGCAGATTTCCTGGGAATCTTCTGCTCACTAGGCTACTTCCTTGGGAGTTGGAGTTGGGGTGAGTCCATGAGAAGCTGTCACTATAGACAGATACAGGTTCCTCTGAGAAGTGAATGTGATTGCAGACCCTGCAACCATCAAGAGGGCACATCCACACTCTTGGTGAATAGAAGTGTGCTTCAGAAGGCTGCAAGACAGGGCTGTGTGGAGGGAGGGCTGTGGTCCCCATGGCCAGCAGGCCTGGTATCCGCTGCAGCTCATATTCCCTCAAGGACAATCAGCCACATGCTCTCTGGATCCTACCCTGTGCAGAGATGTGGGATCTGAACCCAGAGAGCAGGGAGAGGCTGGGGGCCCCCAGGTCACCAGCAATTTTGCCCACCTTGGGTATCCTTATCCCTCTCAATAGGATGGCCCAGCTCTCCCAGAAGGCAGTGGCTGAGGCCTCTTGACATCCCAGTGCAGTGGATGGTGCTGATTGCCAGGGGACCCCAGCCCCAGACTCTGGTTGGACGTTGGTTGGTCTGTACTGAGGGCTGCCTGGGAGGGTTTCATGCCCTTTTTTCCAAGACCACAATGACCAAGCTGATTCTAATTCTGCCTTTTGGGGTAAGGGCCATTGGGAACAGGAGGGAAACATCATTCTGCAGGTGCCAGCAGGTGTTGAGGGGATGGAGTGATGGACAGCCCTGTCACTGAGGCAGGAGGCAGCACTCCAGCCAGAGGGGTGGCTGTGATTAGAATCTGAAGTTGCTAGTCAGGGCGTCATAGCCTAGGTTCTGTGGACCTGCCATCTGAGTCTAAAACAAACCATTTGAGAACAACTTGACTGGACCTGGATGTTCTGGGAGCAGAAGCTGATGGCTGACCTGGTGGCCAGTGCTATTCTCCCAGAATGGAGATGCAGGTTCCTCAGAGGGTCACAGATCCAGCTTCACCCAGCTGGTCCTGTAGTGCATACATCCCTTGCGCATCCTCATCAAAAGCTCCAAACGCTGTTGCCCAGGGTTGTGAAGAAATGTCCTGTGGTACCTCTCTGGGGTGATTCCTGCCCCACTGCAGAGAGGCTGCAGGCATTAGCACGAGCATCCAGCAGAGCGAGCCAGGCAGGGGTCTCCATATGGCAGCAGCATTTCAGGGTGAGTCAAGTCCCCCACCTAGGAGCTCAGGACTAGGCAAGCACCTACCTTCCCAGGGCCTCACTCAACCTGCAGCCTCAGCTCTGGAGTTCCCACCATGAGTTCACCCTCCTGGAAAGACCCACCCCCTGAGTGAGCAGGAAATCCTGATGCCCAACAGAAAACCCCTGCAGCCCCTCCAGGTGTCCAGGCCCTTCAAGTATCCTGCTCTGCCGGGAGCCACCAATAGGAGTTGGCCTGACCACCCTGCCATGTCCCTGGAGATCACACTTCCTCCTGGAGGTAGCTGCTCTGGCCAACCTGACTCAGCCTTAGCTGCTGGGAGGGTCCTCCTGGGTGTTACGAGCCAGAGGTTTTGATGGACACCCAGCTGCTCAAGGCAGCCAGCCCAGCTGGGCCCTCATTGTGGCAGAGCCCAACACAGCCTGGCTGCATAGTGACCAAGAGCAGGTGGAGCCTTTGAAAGTCAGCCCTGCCTTCCCACCCCCATTCTACAGCCAGGGAACTGCAGCCTTCAGGAGGAGAGGCTTGCCCTGGAAGCACTTACTTCTGGCTTGGGATTCTGTTCACCGGGAGTGGGGGAGCGGTTACTTTAATCTTCAGGTTGTTCCTGTCACTATTGAGTGTGAGCCAGCAATATTGTTTGTAATGGAGATCAGTGTGCAGGAGATCCTGAGCCCTCTCCTCACAGTAGTTCCAGTAAATTTCTTCTTTCAGAACCACTCAATCCGGTTCTGGAGGCTCTGTGTGGCCTAGGGCACAGCTGTCTGTGGCCACAGAGGGTCATTTATAGCAGGCTCCTGGCTGCCTGGTACCGGCCATTGCTGCCTCTGAAGAGGCTCAGCCTTTATCCACCTCTGTTCAGCTTTAGGTCAGACTTGCTGTGCCTTCTGCTTGGGCCACGATAATTAAATCTCTATCATGCACGATTATGGATGCAAAAAATAAATGACACAATTAACTACTCTGCACTTGGAATTGCTTTTTTAAAAAAAAAAAAAAGTGCTCTGGCATGTGAGGGTTCAGGCAGCCTGGGGCCTAAGATGCAGACTTCACAGTTGCTCCATCCAGGTCAGGACAAAGCCCAGGGTGGGAGAGCGTGCTGAACAAAGGAAGCCTGCTTCCCAGGACAGAAGCCCTCCTGCTAATTGATCTGCCAAGGGGAGGGCAAATCCAGCTAGACTCTGGAATAATTGGTCGGCAAGCTTGAGGAACAAAAGGCCTTTGGCTGGGGCAGCCCGGGAAGAGCTGCCTAGGATGGGGGGCTGGGCACAGCTGCCCTGTCTAGTTAGACAGGTGGCACCTGCTGCTGCAAGGCACAGCCCCAGGGTCTGGCTCAGCTTGCAGAGAGACCTGGAGATGCCAGGTAGCCAACACCAACACCCAGTGCTGGAGGCGCCTGAGGTGTCCTAAAAGGACCAAGCCCTGCAAGCATGCTGCAGGGTTCAGGGAGGAGGCAGCTTGGCCCCTGCCCAGCTCCCTCCAGTTATCAGCCTGAAGGCCAGGAGAAAAAGCCCTCGCTGGTGAGGACTTGGGACATCCCTGGCATCCACTTTCTCCGTGCTGATCAGAGGCTGCAGCTGCAGCCTCAGATACCTCCAGAACCTACAGCTGTGTGCTGGTGGCCTCAGGCTGATTCTCTTCCTATTGCATGGAGGGACATGACTTCCACTGAGCAGCACTGTAGCTTCCTTTTCAAATGACTGTTACTTCCCCCACCCCACCCCCAAAAATAAGCGGCTTGGAGGACAAGTGTGACAGATAACTTCAAGCTGGAGGAAGCTGGACAGAAGCAGGCCTGGAGTGTGTGCCCAGGGGTCTTGGACTGTGTTGATGGGGCTGCGCCCTCTGGGGTTGAAGCACCCTGGCTTCACAGCAGGATTTGGGGGCACAAAGACCCAGCCAAAAACTGGTGTTGGCTCCTGCTCAGCTTCTTCCTGAAGCTGCTGCTGGCGAGGTGGTGGCAAGGTGGGTACACCCCACACCCTTTTCCATGGGCCCAAGGACAGTGGGGATAAAGGATTCCGTAGAATGCCCAGAGTCCGGGTCACATGGCAGACCCCCCTCTCTAACCCAGGGACATGCGAGGCTGGACAGGAAGGACAGGGTGTCACATTCTCCAAACGTGAGCCCACCCTTTCAGAGCAAGTCTTAATTAATCTTTCAGAGAGAGTCTGCACCCTGCCCTTAAAACAAGGTAGTTAGACTGAAAAACAGTTGAACCACCCACCTGACTGTGACCCAAAGGACAGCCATTGTTCCACCTTTCAAAGGAGATGGCCAAGGGTGGCCTTGTTGGAGGCCCAGCTGGCCACAGGGCAGCCTCTCACACATGGACATGTTTGTGTGGTCCAGAGGTCTTTAAAAAATAGAATTCATTTTTATAAAAGTCAGGAGAGGGACCTTTAAAATACAGGTTGGGGTTCCTGTTAGAAATGGGGAGACTATTGGTTTCCCACAGGAAAACAAGTGCTGAGCTGGGCTGCTCTGGCATTGCACTCCATCACTGCCCGTCCTCTGTGGGCACTGAGGAGTGGCCTTGTGTTTGCACACATGGCAGAGCTGGGCCTGGCAGCTCCTGCTCCTTGGCCACCTCCCTCACACTGGGGTGAGTCTCTCCACCCAGGGCTGCCCTTGTCCTTCGTCTGGGGAGTTCCTAGCAGAGTGCTAGAGCCTCTGGAGATTGGCTTGCCGGTCACACAGGCAACTCATGCATTAGTATTCTTGTAGCGACAACTGTGCATTTATAGAATCTACCTTCTTAAGGAATTTCTCAGGGTTCTTCAGGACATGCGAAAATCTCCTTCCTTCTGACATATTCTGAGGAAAGACCATAAGCAAAATGCCCATGCCCATAGGGGTCATAGGATTTATGGTGCCAATGGGCATTGTGAATGAACACGTAGTGCGCTCTGTTAGCATTTGTTAATGTGTGTAGCGAATGATGCGCTCAGAAATATAACAATCAGCAATGCATGTTCAAGCACGTCTGGGAACCCTTCTAATTCAGGGAAGATGCAGAGCTGTCATCTTGGGTCTGCAGAAGGTGGGACTAGCCGGGGGTGGGGGGAGGACTGGGAAAGTGGCTGGAGCATAGGCATCTACACCACCTAGAGGCCAGCAGGGCTCTGATGCATGTGCTGATTGGGTGGGGTGTGGCCTGGATTTGTGTGGCCACAGAAGGAGATGGAGAGAAGGTATCAGGTGGAGATTCAGTGGACTAGTCACCTGGGTCTGGGTCTCATTCTGGGATACAGAATTTCCAGGGAGGTGCACTGGGTGGGTGCCAGGACAGCCCCATCTCCACCTGGCCTTGGGCCTTTTTAGAATTGCTGCCAAGTTGAGACTCTCCTGAGGCCCAGCCTGGCAGGTTAGGACTGCAAAGCAGGAGGCCTATCAGTGAGGGCATCTCCATCTGCTCTTGAACCTGGGGCCTGCACCTGGGTCCACCGGAGGCTTAATCCCTTTATACTAGTCATCTGTTTGCCCCATGGGGGTTACAGGGAGCTGGTGATATACAGGGCCAGGAACAGCAAGGCAGATGGGCCTCGCTTCCAGACAAGAATGATTAAACTGACCAGATTTGCATAATATTTGGTTATTTTAAAAACCAGGATTACAAGCCCTGGAAAGAGTTGATGTGCTGTCCCGGATTGGCCCAGGCAGGAATAATTAAATCCAGCAACCCTGGTTATTAAATGGAAACGGGAACATCAAATGGGATTTAATCGGGCCACTAATTTTTTAATCATCACTTCTTTTTTCATCTTATGAAAAATGTAGTAAATGTTCATTGTAGGAATCTAGAAAGCACAGATAAGGAAAAGTAGGAAATTAAAGTCATCTGAATTCTACTCCCCAGAGATAACAAGGGATTTGGGTGCCTGTCTACGCATTCGAGTTTGAAAACCCATGCTTTGTGTTCGCGAGTTTTTAAAAGAAAATGGTTCCGATTATAAATAGTAAGCACCATGCTGTGCTTACTGAAAGTTCCTTGGTTCTGTTTAGGAGGGTGAGACTGTAGTCCATCCTGCAGTGTTACAGTGCACCTGTTCCATGCAGGGTGCTTAGTCCCTTCCTGTGTTTGGGAGGGATGGCCTCACACCACACCATGCACTGGCCTGGCAGAGCCAAGATGTCAGCCCTTCTTCTGGATGCAGCACCCAGCCCATCACACACTGTGAGCTGTTGGACAGTGGCCAGTGCTGCCCAAGAGTATGCCAGGCTGGACCCAGGTCAGGTCTGGGTCAAGCACCTTGCATGACATCTGCAATGTCAAGTGGCCTCATAAGCAAGGTCCCCCACTTAACCTAAGAGTAGCACCATGCACATTCCCAGCCTGGGGCCCTTCTTTGTGAAGAGGCTGGGCAGGCCTCCTGAGCCCCCTTTAGCAGAAGAGGAAACTGAGGCTGGAAAGGTGAAGGTCTCTCCCCTCTAGGGTGCCCCAGCCTAGGAAAGCTGAGCAAACTCCAACCTCAGGGTCGACAGGGAGCCCCCTGGACTTTTCTCCACCAAACCTACAAACTGACCCATTTGCTGGCATCCTGCCCTATGCCTGTGGCCACCACCAGCAAAACCTGGCCCTACACTGGCCCTGCTCCCTCCAGGTCCTGTCCTCGTAGCACACATACATGCCAATCAGCCACATGAAGGAACAGACAGGGGAAGCACATCTGTCTACTCCCCTCCCCTTGGGGTCCCCAGAGTTCCCAGGCCAGGCTGCCATGATCTCACCTGCTCCTCTGAGCAGGTTCCTGCCTACAGCATGGCCTGCGCCCCCCATGCCCACCCGCCAACAACTGCTTCTCAACCCTGGCTGGCCTTTTCTCCCCCTAAATAAGCACGGGTGCACACCTTGTTCTCTGCACTCTACCCCCAGGTGACCTTGCTGCCTGAGGCTTTTCTCACTTGTGGGAAGTGTTCAGAACCTCAGGCTGCTGGCCCACCTGCATCTCCCCCCGTTGCTGCCACCCTCCCCACCTAACTGGGCTTTCTCTGTCTCTGCTCTATTCCAGCCAAACAATGGCTCTATCTGAGACCCAAGGGTCATCCTGGTCACATCTCCACACCCCACACCATTCCATCAAAGTGCTCCTCAGAACCCCCATCTTTCCATGCCCACCCTCCTCTGTTGCCATTGCCCCAGCCCAACCTCTCCCGGGCTCTAGCTTCCATCCTTAGCCTGAAGCTGCCAGGTGAGCACCTGGGAACCCCATAGGGCCCTCACCTGCCATGAGCCCCACCGACACTGAAGTGGGCGGCAGCAACAGCTCTTCAGGCCCAAGTGCATCAGCTCTCTTCCTCCAAGGACAATGTGTTTGTTCTGCCTCTGTAGTGCCAGCTCTGTTCCTTCCTCCCAGAAAGGCCACCCCTCAGGCACCAGCACATACCCACTTTGCCTCTTGCCTCCAGCAGCCTAAAGTCATCTTGCGATTCGTAATGTGTAGCCTGCACACCTGGCTCTTAGACACCACTTGTGACATTATCGTGTGGCCGGGGTGCAGTATGGACACAGGACACACTGGACAAGCCTCTGCACAGGCTAGACAAGCTCCTGTGGGCATCGTCCTGGCCAGCTTGTGCTGTAGGGTGACTCCCTTCCCAGCCCTGTATCCTGGTGGCCCGGGGCCTTCACTGTGGCCCCAACCTGGAAAATGTCCTTCCTTCTGCTGCTCCATTAGCAGAAAGGAAAATCTAAGGTCAGGAAAGGGGTTCTTTGGGGAATTCTTCATCCTTCTGAGCTGATGAGATGCTGGAAATGAGTGCCCATCATGTCCTGATGACAGAGGGGCCTCCCACCTAAGGGTCTTTATAATCTCCTTAGAGTAACTCTGCAATCTCCTGCAAATCCCAGGAGCTTTTGCTGGAGAATCTCCACTCTGTTCCAGGCCACAATGGGGTGTGCGCAGCGCAGGTATAGCAGTGCATGCATGTGTGGAATATGTGTAGGGGTGTATATATATATATATATATATATATATATATATATATATATATATATTTATATATGCTTGTGTTTAGGAATGTATAGGTGTTGTGTGTAAGTTTGTGTGTGTATTAGGGTGTGTGAAGGGTATGCGTGTATGTAGGGGGGTGTGTGTATGTGTATAACTGTGCTAGCAGGTAAGCAACCTAGCCATCCCTGCTGGAAACCAGGCCCTTGGTGCTGTGACACACTTACGCACACTCCTGCTGAGACCTCCAGCTGGAATCAGCAGGAGTCCACCCAGCTCCCACAGCTGGACCAGGGGGGAGCCTGCGCTAGCCAAGGGTACATCATTGCTGAAGCCCCCCACTTCCCAGGCAGAATGGGGAGGGGCCCTCAGCCAGAGGATCCCAGCTGACTGGAGGATAGAGTGTTGGGCTGGCCTGCCCATCTACCCTCAGGCCCTATAAGGGCCAGTAAGGGGCCTGAGGCAGCCAGTGACCCTGTTTCTCTCTCCCTCCTCCCTGCAGCCATGAAGTCCGGGGGCACGCAGCTCAAGCTCATCATGACGTTCCAGAACTACGGGCAAGCACTGTTCAAACCCATGAAGTAAGTGCCGCCGCTGGGCGAGTACAAGGGCGGGTGGAGTGTGCAGTCGGGGAGGCAGTGTTTTCTGAGAGAAGATCTTGGGGTGGACTGTAGAAGCCCAAAAGGCAGCCAGAGTGACCTGCACCCTTGCTCTTCCTGTTTGCGTCAGCATTATGTACCTGAAAACCTGTTGGGGCCTCACCCTCCCCGTGAGGGTGTTTGGGTTTTCAAGTATAAGAGATGGGGGCGTGGACACCAAAGAAACCTCTGGAAAGGGGACGTGGGCTCTCTGACTCATAAAGGGCTGTTCAGTTGGCTGTTCTGTCTCACGCTTGTCCTGTGGTCCTGATGGCCCACGATACAGGAACGGTGGAAAGTTGAGTGTCAAAAAAAAAAAAAAGGGCAGGCTAGAGGTAGCAGCTAGAGTTGACTGTCTGCCTACATAAAATAGAAACCATGTCACCAAAGTCCCGTGGAACACTGAGCAACACATGACCCCACAGGAAAGTAGATGACTTCGTGGTTTGTGACGTCCACTATGATCATCATGGGGTTTGGATACCCCAAGGGGTCCCAGCATGCACCATGTCTTCTGTTAGTTGCAAACAGGGCATTTCTGCACTGACAGGAGATTCCTTGTTTAAACACAGTTTGCAACCCAAGTGCCCAGGAGCACACACGGGTCTCAGACGTGAGTGTGGGGCTAGACAGGGACTGTGGCACATGGGGTGTGGGTCCCTGCAGAAGGGGACAGCTGTCCATTGACTCATCAGATCTCAGCCATCTGGCCTGATTTCTAATTTTCAAGATAAGCTAGAGATGCAGAGATTTTCCTTTTTAGCATTCATATGTTTAAAAATGGTAACTAATTCAGAAGCATTAAGATATTTTGTAAGACTCAAAGAGGGAAGGTTTCCCAAGGATCCTTTCCACCGGCCTCAGTTGCAGGTCTTTAGGAGCCTGGGACTGAGCACCACACATTGCCACAGGCCACGGAAAGGCCATCAGTAGAAATGACAGAGAGACCAGGAAAGCATTCCATGGGCTGAAATGAAGGCTCTCCACCCTTGTCCCTCTCGCCATGGGGCCAGCCCAGGGTGGCTAGTGTGTGCTGTGGCTGACGAGTCTGTGTTGGCTATGAGATAATGGGGCTTCTTCCCTGATTTCATGCTTGGAAGGAGAGTTCTTGCCTTCCTCTGAATCTGCCCCGTGCAGGGGACTACGAACTGGCCCCAGTGAGGTGCACGGTTAGACACAGTCCCTTCGTGACCAGAAGTAGTGTGGACAGCCAGTTGGTTTCTGCTGCCCCCACCTGACCTTTGTAAGCTGGGCAGGAGACACCCACACAACAGGAGGGGAGTGTGGCTGGGGCCAGTGTGGTTCTCCTGGGACATCCCAGAGGGTGGTGGGGAACAGGCCTCCTGTGGCTTCTTTACATCTCACATCTCTGGCTTAGGAGGGTCAGCTGTGAGAGATCTCAGCCTCTCCAGTGAGCTATTTTAAGGCCCCCATTCTCTAATGTGTGGGGCACCACTGAGGAGCCAGGCTGAGTCAGGTGAATAAATGAGCCTGGACAGGCAGCTGCTATCCAGAATCCAGGACAACAGCTGAAAGTGATGTCTCCAGGCCCCAGGCTGTGCTGGAGGTGGGCGTGGGAGGTAAGTCTGGGAGACAGATTTCTGCTGTCCTCTGAGGGGTGCTGTTCCAGTCTGCTGATGCTTTCAGTTGAGCTGGAGGCGTGTGGGAGAGAGCTCCACAGGGCTGGAACTTTTGGGAGAGCAAGTCCTAAGGGCTCAGGTGACCTGGCCAGTGGAGAGTGGAGAGATTCTAGGTTCTGGTGCTTCTCCTGCAGAGCTGGGCTGGCCAGCTGTGCGCAGCAGCAGCCATGGTGTCTTCTGCTGCAGCTCTGCAGGGCTATTGCTACCCACATCCCATGGGCTCCTGCAGCCTGGAGGCTCTATGCCGAGGTTTCATCCCCACCATATAACTGCACGACATACTGCCCACTGCCACATGGAAATGAGGGGACAGGAGCTCCGAGAAGCAGGTAGACACAGAGTCCCCTAAGTGTCCACCCACTGCCTGGCAGGCATTGTCATATCCCAACTTGGTGAGTTCAGAGGCCAAGTAACTTTCCATGGCAGTCCCTGACTCCAGGACCCCATGGAGAAGGTCCTGGGAGGGGTCCAGCAGCTCCAGATATCAAAGGCACAGGCCTCAGAGGGTCTAGGCTATGGCAGCAGGCAGTGAGGCTGGTGTGAGACGTGGGCTGATGGGAGGTTGAGGCCTGTTAGAATATGGCCGTGGAAACAAGGTCGAGATCCTGCAGCAGCTGGGGAATGTGTTCAAGGCTGGCCAGAGCAAGGCTTTGCATGCCCTGAAGCCAACCGGGGTTCCTCCTTTGAAGCATTAGGGATGGGAACAGAGGTGGAGACCCATGCTAGAGGGTATCACTGTGTTCTGCAAACTACCCACGTGTCTTCCTGACCTGGTCTTCTTGGTAGGTCTTGTAGGTTTTCCCTGACACCTGGAACCCTCCTCACCCCATGACCTCAGGCTCATGCCTGTAGGGTTCTTATTCCCCAGTGACTGTGATTTGAATACGAAAACAGCTGTGGTTCCTGACCAACTTATTAAGAAATTAAAATCCATGATTAACAGTTCTCCTTAAGAAAGGACATTCTCCTGGGAGAAAGTCCTGCGCTGCATACGTTCTCAGGAGAGTATTGGGAATTAATTAGACGGGCAGAGTACTTTGCCTCTGGGATTGTAAAGGTGTAAGTTGAAAGCATCAAGAGAACAGCACCCAGGGCAGTGCCTGGGGGTCCCTCAGCATGATGGGCAGGTGTGAGAGAGACCATGGAAGGATCAGTGGTCATGTATTGGTAGACTTTGAAAACATGTAACAGCTTGTCAGCCCTGAGCTCCTGGAGACTCTTGCTTTTGTGCTAACGTGAGTACTTAAGCTTTCTTAAAAACAGCTTTATTGAGATGTAATCACAGGCCATAAATTCCCCTACTGAGAGTCTGCAGCTCAGTAGCTGTTAGTCTATTGACAGAGTTGTGCCATATCACCACTGTCAATTCGAATCAATTTTTCATTATTCCAAAAAGAAATTCCTTAAAATTTTCATTGCTCACCAGCCCCCTTGGTGCCCCCAGCACATGACAAGCTCTAATCCCCCTTTCTGCCCTTCTGTGGATTTATTTACTCTGGACTTTCACAGACATGGAGTTGTTCAGTGTGCCTTTGATTGTGACTGGCTTATTTCACATGACAGTGTTTCACGGTTCATCTGTGCTGTGGTGTGCGTCAGGCTTCGTTCCTTCTTATTGCTGAGTGATCTTCCATTGTACACACGGGCCGCGTCTTGCTTATGGGCCTGGGGTTGGTGATAACAACAACATTGTCTACAGTGAGTAACGCTGCTTTGAACATTCATGCTCAAGTTTTGCATGGACATTTTCTGTCCTCTTGGACATGCACCTAGGAGCAGATGCCAAGTCAGGTAGCAACTGTGTTCAACCACTTGAGTCTGGTTTGTACTGTAGCTGCGCCATCTTGATCTTAGCCATCCTGGTGTGTGTCAGTTGGAATCTCATGGTGTTTTGACTTCCCTAATGCTAGTGTCATCAAGTGCCTTTTCACAAGCTTGACCATTTGTGTATCTTCTTTGGAGACTTCAGTTTGGAGTTTGTGTTATTTCATTAGTTGGGTTATTTGTCTGTTTGCTCTTAAGTGGTGAGAGTTCTCGATACACTCTGAATGGGTCAGTGGTCATGTATTGGTAGACTTTGAAATCCATGCATGAGCTTGGATTCCTAGGTGTCCATTCTATTTATTTTTGTTGCTGCATGCACTCTTGGTGCAGTGTTTATGCTAATGGAGCACACAGATGTTGGGGGAACCATGGTGCAGGTATCTCTGGGCAGAGCTGGCAGAGTAGCTGCTTTGGGACTCAAATGAGTCAGTCCATAGTTCAGTGGTCTGAGCCTCCATTCCTGCTTGTGACCTCCAGGAAATGCTTTTCCCACCAGAACTCAGTTTACCCACTTGTCAACAAGGTCTTATAGAAAAGTCTCAAGGCCTGTGCAGATGTAAGGCTGTAGGAATGGTTTGGGAACACACATACTTTATCCTGAAGGCAACAGAGAACTGGGTGACTCATGGGGCATGGAACTAGGACGTCCCACAGCGTCTTTGCACAAACTGCTTCCTGGAAAGAAACCTTTCAGGCATGCCCACAGCTGCCATGACGCAGCCATGACCACCTCCCAACAGAAGTGTTCATCCAGCCAACTCTATAACATTCATCAAGTCCCTGATGGGAACACAGACATCATTCAGACCCAGGGCTCACGGGGAAGCCTTAAGCCCTGGTCATGGTTCCTCTCCAGTGGCTCTCTAAATTTCCTGCTGCTGTTAGGACAGAGCAGTGCATATCCAGCCTCAAGGCAGCCAGTGTCTGCTCCTCGTGGATGTGTGCGGAATGAGTGACAGCCTGGGCCAGCTGGGGTGGTACCCACCAGCTCCACTGCCCAGAAGGGTCTGGCTGAGGGAAGAACAGCCTGATCAGCAGTGTGCAGTGGAAGCAGCCTCCAGCTGAGCCTCATTGTGAGTGTAAAGTCAAGTGAAGGTCATTCCCTTTAAGCATAGGAACCAGCCTGCGCAAAAGCCCAGAGGTCAGGTGGACACTATCCAGGACAGACAGCCTCCACAGGGCTGAGCTGGGCTGTCCAAGGGTCCAATGTGGCAGACGGCAGCCTACAATGAAGTCAGTTATGGGTTAAGATTGAACTGCGGCTGCTCCATCTCTAGCTGCACCTCAAGTGCCCGCTGGCTGCATGTGGCTACAGTACCATGTTGGAGTGCAGTTGCAGAACAACCCATTGCCACTGTGGTATCCAACAGTCCTGGGTCTGAGCACAGGCTGCAGGGCCAGTTCCTGGAGCATTTGGGGGCTAGCGCCTGGTATTGTCCCCAGGAGCAGCAGTCAGCAGTGCTGGGCCTCTGGCTGCTG